AATAAAACTGTGACATCCATAGAAAGAGTCAAATCTTTAGTACGCGATGGAAACCACATATAATGATATCTAAAATCAAATAAACCTCTCAATTAATACAGCCATACCTATTTAATTAGGATACCCTGTGTCCCGGATAATAAATAAATATACAACTGTTATCACAGAAAAATAAAAATACATTAGATATTTAGCACAATAACTGAAAAACACATTAACAAACATAATCAATCTCTAAATAAATATGATCTAACCGATTTAATATTGAAATGAAGAAGATCAACAAACATCAAAGCAAGCGTGTAGTACTCATCATGTTGTGTAACCTTGCAATTATAGATAAGATAAAATATATATAAGATATATAAAATTAAAAAAAAAAATTAAAAATATCAAGACTTACAAGCAATTACTGTATAATAAATTAATATTTAACTGTTAATTACTGCAAAATAAATTAATATCTAACTATAATAACATCTTACTGAATTATTAAATATAATCTTGAGGACTTTAAGACAGTAGCAAATTGCAATCTTTTAGCATGCTATTAGTTAAAACTTTGCAATAACAGATAAATAAAAATACATTAGATATTTAACACAATAACTGAAAAACCCATTACAAAATAGAGAAGAGGAGAATGATTTCCTATAGAAAAACAAAAAACAAAATCACCTAACTCTTGATACACAACACATTTTACTATTACAAAACAGAAAAAACATTAAAAGTTGATCCTTCAATACTGTACAAAAAAGAAAAAGATACCTGTTTCAGATGTAAAGTCTTGAAACAAACCATTTTGCAGACATTCACATAATGTCAAGCCAGAACACAAAAATATCTTCAATATGGAATAATTATAGATCAAAGTACCACATGTGTGAAAAAGCATATGTATTCTGTTCCCTCTATAGCATGGTAGCAATCTTCTGGGCAACTCGTGTTGGTCCAAAAAGAACCCAAAACCCTTTGGATCACTTATGAATTACATAAAGAAAGTTAGTTGGCTATTGCAAGGAGAATGTGAAATAAAAACATGCAATAATTATAATATTTATTTTAGTTTAACTCAATTAAAAACAATTTTATTCACAAACCTACACTATATTAAAGTAAAAGAATTATAAATACCTTTTGCATCCTTGTAGCGAAGTTTGTATTGCAGAATTGTGTAGAAAATGAATTGTGTAGCGAATGAAACCAGGAACTTAACACACAAGCATGTCGTATATAAGTGTTCTAATATCTGCTGAGTAGTGTTTTTGAGTTTTGGTGTTTTGTGTTACTTGCTGAATTTCCTCCAACTCTTCCTGTAAAATCAGTATCAATGTCATTTTGCAGTACAAGAATTGCATAATTTTTTTCAGCAAGTTGTTGGTATAAAATTGTTTTTTGATAAGAAAACTTGGTTTCGATTAATGTTAACTGCTGTTTCAAACAAAAAAATTAAATCTCTTTCTCATAACCTTTTTCTGGGACTTAACTAGTCAGCTCTTTAACTAGATAGTGGTTCATGAGAAGAGGTTTCTATAGCAGGACCAGATAAAAGAGATAAGTGACCACTGTTTGATACAGATAAAACACTGATTTGTTGAAAGGGAAATGAAGAACATATAGCAATGTGAATTTAGGTTGCAATTGATTGCGATGTTTGTGCCATAGCAGATGTTATTATTTGGTATGCACAGAGCATGTTGCAGATGTCAATAAATTGTTTTGAATCTCGTGAAAAATGGTTTACAAAGTTTTTTGATGTTTTAACTAGTTGCAAAATCTAATTAGTACAAACTTTGATGTTAAAATACTTATTGATTACTTCTACAGTTACTTTATATGAATCCTTGTTAGTTGCCAATATATGCAGTAGACGTCCGTTGCTACAACCAATATTTAAATGAGCTAGTAGTGAAAACTACAAGTTAACTAACTTTTAGCTTTACCATCAAGTAGAAATGTTTCCTTTTTAGGTCCCACGATGCACTAAATCAAACAATCATAATACAACTATATAATTGGGTTGGCTTTTAAACACAACTAACTAATTTAAAAAATTACTGTTAACCTATAAAAAAATGTGTAGATACATTTATTATTATTCGCATAGATAAAACATGTATATAATTTTTATGTATCATAGAGCTTAAGGTAGTTATATAGTAAATTCTGGGTATGGAAAAAAGCTGAGAAAATGCTGAGTCCCCATATAAAAGTGTCATTTAATTTTTATTTCACCATATTAAATTATCCTTAGGAGAACTTTGCTTTTAAGGCAAAGTTCTGCCAAAGATAATTTAAATTACTTACTCTTTTCACACACCGAAATTAGTTTTAAGGCAGCCTTGAAACTGATTTTGATGTGTAAAAAGAGTAAGCAATAAAAAATATATTCAATAAATAACACAATAAATGATTATACAACTATTAAAAAAAATCAACAGTATTGTTAGTAATAAATGACTATTATAAAAAAGTAAAACTTTTTAATGAAAGTTCTTATAAAATATTTCATTATTATGAATAGAAAAACAAGTATACTGAATGCTCACTGGCTAACACCGGCGAATTGCCCCCCCCCCGCCTTAAACTATGTAACGGAAGTGGAAATACATACCTCCACTGCACGATAAAATAGGGTTTCTGGTCATAAATATTTTTTAATGAAATTTGGCAGGCACATTGAAAATAGATTTATACAGTTGCCTGGAAAATTTAAAAAGTGTACCATATACCTTTAATATTAATGCACCTCCGGAACAGAAATAAAATTTTTTAAATAAATAAAAATCACTGGTAATTGTAAAAAAACAACAGAATTTATAACAAGAAGTAACAGTAACAGTAGCAGAAACAGTTTAATAAAGTGTAACAGTAACAGTAACAGTAAAAAGGGTGGAAATTGAACCTCCACTGGATCGAAAACTACGCTATGTGGTCATGAATATTTTTAAATTATATTTTGCAGGCACATAGAAAATTGATTTATACAGTTGACTAGAAAATTTCAAAAATGTACCAACATGCCTTCCATATGAATGCACTTCCAGAAAAGTAACGAAATTTTAAATAGCAATAAAATAACTGAAAAATTTATTAACCATAAAAAAAACACATAATTTATTCAACATTAAACATTCGACTTTTTTAATAAAGTCTGAGTTGATATAAAATTTTTTAAAAAAGACAAATAAATACATTCTTACCACACCGACTTCGAGCACGCTATGAAAAAAAAGGTTTCAGTTTTTAACTTTGAAATCGGTGCCGTAAAAAGCCAGATACGCACGTACCTAATATATATATATATATATATATATATATATATATATATATATATATATATATATATATATATATATATATGTATGTATGTATATATATATATGTGTATGTATATGTGTGTGTATGTAAATGTATATATATGTATATGTGTATGTGTGTACGTGTGTATATGTGTATGTGTGTATGTGTGTATATATATATATATATATATATATATATATATATATATATATATATATATATATATATATATATATATATATATATATATATGTATATATATATATATATATATATATATATATATATATATATATATATATATATATATATATATATATATATATATATATATATATATGTATATATATCAGGGCCCTACAAATTGATTTGTGAATTGAATCTCAAATTGAAGCAGGTTTTGATTTGTGAATTGAATCATTGATTTGAGGAAATCTGAATTTAAGCATTTTTTTAATAATATATAATATATAATAAAGAGACTGTTTAGAACAAATTAATTTGAATGCTTTTTGCCAGGATTAAACTTTGAGTGTTGATTAGAAAAGTATTTATATATATATAAGGGATGAGTAAAAACATTTTGATAGCTATATATATATATATATATATATATATATATATATATATATATATATATATATATATATATATATATATATATATATATATATATATATATATATTTTTAAGTTGATTAAGGTGCCCCAAGAAGTCCTTACGGTCTTATCACAGAGCATTTAATGGGAAGTTCACGCCTCCTTCCCAACCGATGTCGCAAAACTTGCCCAGAGGTGGGGTTTGAACCACGGATCTTACGTTTCTGAGGCAAGTGTGCTACCACTATATATATATATATATATATATATATATATATATATATATATATATATATATATAATATATATATATATATATATATGCCTGTTGGCAACAGGCATGAAACTCAGAGTTCCATAAAAAGTTGTTTTTATTCATTTTATATAAGTAAATATTGCTCTATTATTTAATAATATTGAGCACTCTCATACGCATAAGAGTATAAGTATTATTATTATTATACCATAATAATACATTAACTTTTTATGTATATATATATATATATATATATATATATATATATATATATATATATATATATATATATATATATATATATATATCAAAAGATTGGAAAAGTGTACTTTAAAAGCATGTAGTATAAATAGAGTAAGAAAATATGAGGGAATAAGTCAACATTAATGACTTTTTGCGTTAGCAACATTTTGTGAAACAGCTTGTTTCAAATCTCTAGGTCGCTTAACTTTAAATCGTTTCTGGACTTCGATTTTAGTAGGTCTTCCCATTGGCCTACTATCACGTGACAGACCTTTTCTTTGTCTTGCAACTGCAGTTGGCTGTGTTTTAATTTTCCCATTTCTTTTATTCGAATGTACTGATGTTTTTAATGATAAAAGCATAGCCAAAGCACCTCCTGTAGTATTTATATTTTTCAGACTCAATTTTACGCTGTTAATAATTTTTTTTGATTCTGGATCTATTTTGGCTAAATCTAACAGTCTTCTAAATTCAGATAAAGCTTCCTCACACTCATAATCTATGGATTCAAATTTTTCAGAAGTAATTTTTTCTTCATTTGATTTTAAAGATAAAATGTGTACATCATTTTTGTTGATAGAATTCAAACTACTTTCTTGATTTTCAACTGGTAAATAGATAGAAGTTAATTGATATTTTAATAAGTATAATTTTATTCTTTTTTTATCAATTGCAAAAAGCATTATTTCAACATTAAGGAATTATTATAATAAATTATAAGTACATAATTACTTGCAAATATTGCAAATTTAATTTACAAACCTATTGGAGTTGAAATTGTTTCATTTTCCCCTTCATTGATATCTCTCAAATAAAGAAAAAATTACGGCTTGGGGCACTTTAGTCCCAGTGCAAGTTTTCCAAGTTCATATCTGTCATCAGATGTTATTGGCGGGGCGCAGGGAAAACTAATTTTAAACAGTTTGTGTATTGCAGCCATGTGTTTACAAAATCCTCCCTGGCGACCACTAATGCATAAACAATATCCAACATCACTATTTACTATATACTTATCATTAGAGTTTTTAAAACTTGGAACACTAAAATTGTTAACCTCTAACAATTTAATAGATTCAATAGTTATCTTGTCAGATTTTTGACATAACTTGTTGTAAAACATTTCATATGAAGAGCAACAGTTATAAGCTGAATTGAGAAGACGGTTCCTATAATAATTATCCCAAACATTAACAGTGTAATCTACAAAAGCTGCAACATTAAATGCTTTAGTTCTACTTAAAATAATGTCTTTTAGAATTCTAATAGTTGCTTCACTAAAGTTATTTGTGTTATGGTTTCTAATAATTAGGTCTTTTCTGTAAAGCATGACAAACTCAAATTTTCTCTACTCATAATAATCTGTAACTCTCTTGTAAAATTTTGGGTGTGATAATTCTATCCCCTTTAATTCCTTTAATGATAATTCGAGTTTTGCTGATGTATCTGCATACATAATCTAAAAGGAGTAATATTACATTTCACTTTCATTTTACAAGTAATGTTATAAAGAGTTAAATAAAATAGTAATAATAAAATTGATAACAATAATATTTAAAAAATTATTAACACATATATATTTATATAATAATATAAAGATATTTCTTATGTATGTATGTATGTATGTATGTATGTATGTATGTATGTATGTATGTATGTATATATAAATATATATATATATATATATATATATATATATATATATATATATATATATATAATATATAAATATATAAATATTTATGTATGTATGTATGTATGTATGTATGTATGTATGTATGTATATATAAATATATATATATATATATATATATATATATATATATATATATATATATAATATATAAATATATAAATATTTATATATACATAAATCAATGTATATATATATATGCAGAAATCATTCTATACCTAATTAAGCCACAAACTGAGTGGCTTCCATTACTATCAACAGTAAGGCACCACTTTGGCCTTAGTTCACAGAACTTGTTGAATCCAACTTTGTGTTCAGGGTATAACTTCTTAAATTCCAGATGAAGTTCTTTTAAACGAACTAATATTAAGCAATTTTGTTTATGAACTTTTACATTATTTATATGCACAGAAACAAAGTCTTTTTTTCCTGAACATTGTCTAGTGTATTCGTCAGATTCATATATTTCAATGACTCTTAGCTTAACAATATCCTCCAAAGGATGTCCTTTTTAAGCCTCAGGTTTAGCAAGTATTCCCTTTTCATTTTTTAGCTTTCTGGCTTTCTTAACAAGATGTTCTGAAACTGAAAATGCATCGCAAGTTTTTTTAATTGACCAACTATCAGGAGTTCATGTTAGTAGCTGAACTTTTTCTTCATTCAAACTGATTTTTACTTTTTCCTTTATTGGATCTAAAAGTTTGTCTAATGCACTTTTTCTTTTTCTCAGATTTTATTTCTTTTGGGTCTTTTATCCAATGCTGATACTTGTCATACTTGTAATGCTGATACTTGTCATACTTGTTTCCAGTTTTTTAACTTTTTGCTTTCCATATTCCGACAGCGAAAATGCTGTTATGCTATTTTCATGTTTTACAAGCGCAATGGCGTTGGTTACTTAAAAAAGTTGTAAAAACAGATAGGCAAAGGCTTTACTTATTGTGTAAAAATGTAAATTTAAATATTACTTTACCTATATATATATATATATATATATATATATATATATATATATATATATATATATATATATATATATATATATATATATATATATATATATATATATATATATATATATATATATATATATATATATATATATATATATATATATATATATATATATATATATATATATATATATATATATATATATATATATATATATATATGGAACCCAACACTGACTTGATTGTGCATCGTTTGTCATTTTAAATTTAAACAAAACTGAGTGACTAAAGTAACCCAAAATTTTAAACCTAAAAAACCATCCCCACCACCAAACTGTTTTAATATATCTTTTACAAATATTCGTGATCTGTGAAGCAACTTTCGATCAGTTGAATCTTACCTCCTGCAAAATCTACCAGACTTGCTTGCTCTCAGTAAGACAAATTTTAAACTCTGCAATTCCTTCTTCAGATGTCAGTGTTGATGGGTACTATCCTTTGATTCGCAAAGACTCCAATAGTCACATGCTAGGTTTGGGGGTATACATACGCATTAATTCCCTTATTTGTCGTGAAATCAGGTTCAAATCCTTTGACCATTCTTTTATGTGCTTTCGCCTAGCACCTCTTCACTCTATCACCTTTCTCTTTGTTCTTTATCGCTCTCCTTCCTCCCATGACTGCACTTTTTTTAGATGTTATCTCTGATCAAATTGACCATGCCCTCTCTCTTTACCCCTCTGCCAATATTGTTGTTGTTGGTGACTTTACTGGTCATCACTCTGAATGGCTTGGCTCTAACACCACTGATCCTGCTCGCACTAAAGCCTATAACTTTCTCAATCTCTTACTCAAATTGTTAACTTTGTGACTCGTTTTCCTGACAACCCTAATCATTTACCTTCACTCCTTGACTTATGTCTTGTATCTGACCCTAGCTTATGTTCAGTTTCTCCCTTTTCTCCCTTAGGTGGTTCTGACCATGCAATGATATCTATAAATCTTTCCTCTCGTAATTCTTTTTCGGGCTCACCATATCATTGCACCACCTACTGCTACCCTAAAGCTGACTGGGATTCTTTTCGAGATTTTTTTCTTGATGGTCCTTGGGCTGATGTTTTTTCTCTCTAAGCTGATAAATGCGCCTCCTACGTTATCTCCTGGATTCAGGCTGGAATGGAAGCTTTTATTCCTTCTCGTTGGTTTCAAGTCAAGCCTCATTCTACCCCATGGTTTTCTCCTTCTTGTGCAGCTGCTATATCTAATCATAATCATTTTTTTTATCTTTTTCAAAAGAATAACTCTCTTGAGAACAAACGGCTATTTATTATTGCAAGAAATTGATGTAAAAAGGTGCTTTCTGATGCTAAACTCCATTATTCTCAGTTCACTAAAACTCGCATCTTATCACAAAAGTTAGGCTCTAAAGACTTTTGAAATATCTTCAACAGCATTATTAACAAGGGTAGATCTAACATTCCATCTCTCATTCATGGGACTGATCTTATTACCTCTCCCAAGGATAAGGCAGAACTATTTGCAAAGAACTTTTCTTCTAATTCCACTCTTGAATCTTATGGACATTCTCTTCCTTCCATTCCAGTCAAACAGGTTGACCCATTGTTAGACATTCAAATCACTACGGCTTTCATTGCTAAAGTCATATCTCGTATAAACTTGTCTACAGCTTATGGCCCAGACAACATTCCTGTCACGTTCTCATTCGTTTACTGTATCTATCCCTGCATGCTCTAAAAACTTTTATTCATCTAGTTTTTTTCCCCGCACTTCAATCCTTTGGAACTCTCTCCCATTTTCAAGTTTTCCTGACTCATACAACTTTCAACTTTTCAACTTCAAGTCTTCTGTCAACCGTTTCCTTGCTCTATAGCTTTGTTCTTTTTTTCCTAGTAACTCCCAACTTAATAGTGGTTGCTTGCAGCCTTGTTGGGAGTGAACACGATTAAAAAAAAAAAAATAGTAAATCTTTTTAAAACTGTCTTGCAAAACATATATAGTAACCTTTTCAGCTCAACTAGATTATAATTAATTTTATTGGTCATAATTTCAGTTATATATAGTGAGTATCTAATTTGGTTTAGATGGTTCCTATAATACCATTTAATTAAATTTGACACAAAAAGTAATATAAAATTTAAAAACTCATAATGCAAAATAAAATAATAACATATAAAAACAAATTTGTTGCAATTTTTGTAATTTAAATTTACAATCTTTATATCCATGATCATGATGATTATATATAAATAACACCATTAATAAAGATGATTATGTATAAATATTATATTATATATTTATAATTATATATAAATAACATATATTGTATATAATAACTATAAATAAATGATGGTTATATATTAAATAACTTATATATAAATAAAACTATTTATAACTTTATAACTTAAGTTTAATTGTTCGAATAAAGTTGAAGTAACTTTTAATAAGCGTAGCGAGTTATTTGGGTGCCAGAAGCTTATATAACTTAAATGTATATAGTTTTTAATTAAAAATACATAAATAAGCTATAAACTTTATATTATTATGTAAAACTTGGTTGGAATTATATTATTATGTAAAACTTGGTTGGAAAAATTTAATATGCTTTATAATAAAGCATATTAAATTTTTCCAACCAAGTTTTACATAATAAATGAATCCCTCATAGAATGTTGCTTCTTAAATAAAATTTGACTAATTCTAGTTTAAATACTTATATATAATGTGTTTTTCTTTAACTACACATTAAAAATAATATTGGTTTTAAAAAAATCTAACCTTGTAGGCGCACTTAGCTTGTACGATTTTACCCAGCTAGTGTGTGTTTTATTCCCATACTCTTCAACCCAAGCATTTGCTTCTTCTTCTGATTTAATTGACGTTCTTACTTGAACGACATTTTCATCTTCAAAAATTAATTTTGAATTAAATAAATTAGACATTGAATTCATTTTTGGATAAAAATGTAATCTTTACATTCAGAAACACGTGGATGTGATATCAAAATATTGTTTACATTTTACTGTTTTTTAAATTTTTGCAGACTTGCCTCTCTTTTAAAATCAGCGAATCAGATTGCGCATTTGAGTGGCTATTCTGTGCTTATAGAGGTTTTGTAAAGTCGCATCTCGGCATTGCCATCCCTAGTTATATATTAAGTGCCTTCTTTACACTTTATGGATTAATAGAGTGCTTGAATAAACAAGTTTTCTATTAAAAAATGTTTAGAATTGTAAAATTACAAAAAAAGCGTTAAGAATTTCTTGAAAATGAAACTTACAAAATCTAATTTCGCTTATAAAGCGAGCAACTAAACATGTAATTTTTTTATATAATTCGAGGCAACTTGTTGATAAATTTGTATTTGAATCCGCTATTTGGCGCGTTACGCTATTGAAAAGTTATAAGGAAGTGTTATAGGATTTTGAAAAATGTTGTGTGATGTTCTTAACGATTTAAGTAGCGGATTTCAACAAACATACTGCAAAGCCTTTAAAACACAATGTATAAAGAATTATGTCAAAAGCTTTTGTAGTTATCACGCGAAATGCATTTGTATATAGCTCATTTTCTAGCTTTTTTTTTTAAAGTTTTATTTTACCAGTAAAATATTGATTTTGATTGGTAAAATAATGAAAGTTATTTCACTTGAAAAAAGAATTATTTATTTATTAATAATGTTTGGTTATTTAATTGCCCATTAAAAAAAAAAGAAGGCTATTGAAGAAATATTTCAAGAAATATTTCAAGATATAAAAGATTAAAAATCTTAGGTTAAACGAAAACATGCGCAAAACTTCTGTTCAATTTGATTTTCAAGCTGAGCGCAAGTGACAAAAATATCCTTTGAAACAGCCGTGTTCTAAAGATATAATACTAATGGTATGCAATTTATTTTTTAATTGCGTAGTATTCTAAAATTCAAAGCAGCAAATACAACTATTTGTTATGACATTCATAAACTATATACATGAGGGATGTGATATTCTCACCATATAATACTGATAGTTATTGATATATTTCTTAGTTAAATTAGGGGATGTAAGATTGAGAGCAGCAAATATAACTATTTGTTATGACATTCTTAAACTATATACATAAGGATGTGATATTCAAAACATATAGTGATATATTTTTAAATTAATTTACTGGATGTATTATCCTGAGATTCATAGCAGAAAATACAACTAATTGCTATGACATATATAAATAATATGCATAGGGGATGTGATATTTTAAATAATATAAAACTGATAGTATACAATAGATTTCTTAATTGCATCTAAGATTCAAAGCAGCAAATATGGCTAACTATGAAGTTTATAAACAATATGCATGGGAGTTGTGATATTTTAAACATATATAATACTGGTAGTACATAGGGGATATGATACTTTAAACATTTAAGACTCCTAGTTTGTAATATAATTCTTATTACACTAAGGGAGTGTAATATTCCAAGCAGCGAATATGACTAACAATGCATAACTTTAATCTTATTTATGTTTATCCTATGCTCTTTTGCTTACATTCTATTTTTCCAAATCTAAATATTTTTTCTTCACTTTTTGCGTTCAGTAAAATATTATCGTAGAATAGTTCCCTAAAATAAATAGAAGTGTAGAATAGTTCCCTAAAATAAATGTCAAAAAACTGACCACTGAACCCTGATGCAAGCCGACCTTTACTTTAAAACTATTAACCTCTTCATGTTATGTTTTGATTCCTGTTTGCCATTTTTAGTAATTATAATTACTGTCACCAGCCAATCTTCGACATCTAATTACCTCAAAGTCACTCTACTCTGTCCTTTTTTAGTTCAAAGAATGCCATTATCAGTAGGGTGTTCCAAAATTTAATTTTTTAAAAAATTTGAATTTGCACGCAATTTATTTGCATTCTTTTTTT